GGGGTAGGGGAACGGTTGGGCTGGGGGAGCTTCAAGGGCTTTGCCAACCCAAACCACTCTGTGATTCTATGAACAGCCACCCCAGGCTTGTGTTGGGGCAGTCGGGGTGCTTGTGCCCCCACCCCCCCTTCATCGCTGCAGAAAGGTCCGTGCCCACGGGCAGGCTCGGCCTCATCAACAAAGCAAGCAGCGATGCATTCTTGCCGTGTGCTGCTCCATCATCTTTAAAGACCATTTAAACTCGACACATCCTGCACAGCAGGACCGACACGGCCACGGGAAGAGGCTCTCGCGCCCGTGGGACCAACAGGAATCGCAGTGGTGCCGCTTAAAAGCTTGCTGAGCCCTCTGGGACTCCATGGGCTGGGAAGCGGGACACCGAGCACTCTCCCACGTGTGTGCAAGCTCCCCCTTGCAGCCGCCTCCCCGCGCCACGTTCCCACCCGAGCAGCAGCATCGAACGAGATTTCCAACCAGGAATAACCAAGACCCGCCCGCAGCCGCGCCCGTCCCTGCCTCCCAAACGGCGCTGGTGGGATGCAGAAGCCGCTTCTCCCACTACAAAGGACTGGGAGGGCTTTGCAGGTTGGTCTCGAAGGGTCTCTGTTCCCCGGCAAGCGCCACCAGCCACCCTCCGCCCAACCCGAGCAGCAGCATCGAACGAGATTTCCAACCAGGAATAACCAAGACCCACCCGCAGCCGCGCCCGTCCCTGCCTCCCAAACGGCGCTGGTGGGATGCAGAAGCCGCTTCTCCCACTACAAAGGACTGGGAGGGCTTTGCAGGTTGGTCTCGAAGGGTCTCTGTTCCCCGGCAAGCGCCACCAGCCACCCTCCGCCCAACAAACCCACAGAGACGAGTGAAGAAAACAACCCAGAACGTTAACCAAAAGGGCAAGAACAGCTGCCTCGTTTTCCCAAAACCTTGGCAGAAAGACCACGAGCCCGCTCACCTGAAGTTTAGCGACGACTTGGTTCCGCACAAGCACCACGCTGCCCCTGCTGCCGAGTTTTCAAAGTGCCAGACACCAAAAGCGTGGGGTCACGGTGCCGCAGGGGAGCAGGAGTTACCCAAAAGCCCGTGATTTTGGTGATGCACGGGCGCTCTGGAGCCCAGGGTGGGCTCTGGGCACATTTCGGAGGAGCCACCTCCGAGCACGCAGCCCCCACGGCAAACAGCACAGAAGCCAGCCCCAGCGTATTTCAGGCGAGGGGAGGGAAAGAAAAGAGCCAGCCTAATTCATTTTTTCCTGGTTTATTGTGGCTAACATCAGCAAGCACGCATTTGTCAGAAGCAGTTTGCCAGTTCCAATGCTCTTTGGACATCGTGCAGCAAACTTCCTCCTCACAAACCAGGTCGGCCGGCTCGGTTTGAACCCAATTCCGAAAACGGCTGCGACTCCCCCACGAGGGGACATGAACTCCCCTCTCAGCCCACCGACCTCCAGTGCTTTACGCGTTCCTTATCTCCAAACTTAATTCTCTGCACACAGCTTTGGAATCATCCCTCTTCTCCGGGAACGATTACAAGGACCCCGGGGAGACTACGAGCCACGTTCACTTTTACTCTCCTGGAAGTGGGGTATTGCCTAGAGCGCGTCCGTTGGTTGAAAATCACCAGCTGAGTAGCTAAAAAGGATCGACAAAGGCCACCGAAAATCCCTGCCGAGAAGGACGGCGTGTATGCTTTTGTTAGTGCCCCGGGACGGCGCTGCCAGGCACGGGAGGTACGCGCGCCCGCCCAGCAGGCCCGTGTCCCGTTACTGAGGGTAAAGCTCCACTATCATGGCGTGGCCCTGGAAGGAGAGAGGGGGAGAGAGGGAGCGGTCACCGAAAGGGCTCGCTGCTGCAGACACGCGCTCAACGGGAGACGCCCGGCTCCCACCGCCTTACAATAAGCGGGGAGATGAAAATCCAGAGCTGATTCACCAAGAGGATTCTGGGGACAGGGGTTCGATGGCTTCAGGAGAGGGCAGATGCGCTTCGGGCTGGCCAAGGCAGCAGAGCCCACCCTGACCGAGGCACCAGGCGCTCCTGAGGGCCAAACTAGGAATTCGGGGAGGAGTCAAGGCCAGGACCCGCGCCCTCAGAGGGCCACCAGCCCTGCGAGGTCCCCACGGAACTGCCACCAGCCACCGCAGCCTGAACCAGGGCTCCCGTCCACGGCCTCGACAGCCGTAGGAAGAGTCTCACCCCCACTCGTCTTGTGAAGAGCGTTCTTCCCAAGATGAGAAGAGTGATGCTCACAAACCACAATTTGGGAAGTCTTTGAGAGTCACCAAACGGAACCCTCAGAACACGGCAGGAATCTCTCCTTCCCTTCTGTTCCCATTCGGGCTGCAGTCGCCGTTCCCTAGGGATGATTCTGAGCCTGGGCCAGAGCGCCTCAGAAGAGGACGGGGCAGAGGGAGCTCGCTGAGCTGAGCTGTGACAAGGAGGCCGCCGGCCGAGCCGGAGGGCGTCATCAACACCCAGCGCCTCGGGACTCCCCAGGTGCCCCCACGCCTGGGGTCACTGGGCAGGATTTCACAGCACCGAGAGGAGCAGAAACGTAATCCCTGCCCCGCTCCCGAGGGAACAGTGCCAGCCGCACGGCATCATTACCTGCCCTCCTGCAGCACAGGCAGCAACCAGGCCGTATTGTCCTCCCTCCTTCTTCAATCTATGGGCAGCAGTAATTACTAGACGGCAGCCCGTGGCACCGAAGGGATGGCCCAGCGAGAGGGAGCCGCCCCAGGTATTGAACTTCTCCAGAGGAGGGGCTCCGACCTGCAAGAACACACAGAGGGAGGCGGGCAATCACCCCTCTGGAAGGAGACTGGCCTCACCACACCACCAGACCTGCACGGCCAACCTGGACCGCTGCAAGGTGTTCTTTGGCCCGTACGAGGGCCTGACGACAGCACAAAACTGCGCCGAAGGCTTTACCACCTCCCCTGCAGCCAGCCAGGCACAGCCCGGGCTGCCAGAGAGCAGCCGAGGGACCGAGCCCCTCCCACTGTTTTTAATTTAGTACCGGAGGGATTTAAAAGGAGGACAGATGAGGTGCTGAGGGACAGGGGTTAGCGGTGGGATGGCAGGGTTAGGTTAAAGGTTGGACTCCATGATCTTAAAGGTCTTTTCCGACCCAAGTGATTCTAAGATTCTATGGTAATTCCCCCCTCCCCAACAACTACTGTCGTGGCTCTCCATCTCCCCCTCCTGCTGACAACGGGAACGCCACCGTTCCCAAAGAAACTGCTCCTGTTGGGATTTGCCAACCCAGAGTTCAAGCAACATCGCTTCTCCTCCCAGAAGGTAACAAGAGCCCTGCTTTGCAGCACGAGCGCGCCCCGCCACAAGGCGGAATTCAATCGATCCTGGAGTTAAACAACCAAAGATAAAAGCGCCCGGACCGCGTCTTACCTTTGACTTTCTGCCCATGTAGTTTTGTCCAAACCAGTCTGAATCCATAGCTTTCAGGTTAGCCAGTATCTGCCCCTGAAAAGGAGGGGAGGGCAACGTTAACAAGGATAACGGCAGACTTCGAGGAAAGGCTATTGTCCTGGTTTCGGCTGGCATAGAGTTAGTTTTCTTCCTAGTAGCTAGCATAGTGCTGTGTTTTGGATTTAATACTAGAAGAATGTTGATAACACACTGATGTTTTTAGTTGTTGCCAAGTAGTGCTCAGACTACTCAAGGACTTTTTGAGCTTCTTTAATTTAGTACCGGAGGGATTTAAAAGGAGGACAGATGAGGTGCTGAGGGACAGGGGTTAGCGGTGGGATGGCAGGGTTAGGTTAAAGGTTGGACTCCATGATCTTAAAGGTCTTTTCCGACCCAAGTGATTCTAAGATTCTATGGTAATTCCCCCCTCCCCAACAACTACTGTCGTGGCTCTCCATCTCCCCCTCCTGCTGACAACGGGAACGCCACCGTTCCCAAAGAAACTGCTCCTGTTGGGATTTGCCAACCCAGAGTTCAAGCAACATCGCTTCTCCTCCCAGAAGGTAACAAGAGCCCTGCTTTGCAGCACGAGCGCGCCCCGCCACAAGGCGGAATTCAATCGATCCTGGAGTTAAACAACCAAAGATAAAAGCGCCCGGACCGCGTCTTACCTTTGACTTTCTGCCCATGTAGTTTTGTCCAAACCAGTCTGAATCCATAGCTTTCAGGTTAGCCAGTATCTGCCCCTGAAAAGGAGGGGAGGGCAACGTTAACAAGGATAACGGCAGACTTCGAGGAAAGGCTATTGTCCTGGTTTCGGCTGGCATAGAGTTAGTTTTCTTCCTAGTAGCCAGCAGAGTGCTCAGCCGAAAAAAGCCTTTTACAGGACAGCCCTGTTAATCAACGTTAGCTCAACCTTAGCTAGGAAAAGACGCTGTCCAATTAACGGGCCACCGCCCCAGAGCAGCAACACCTATCCCCAGCCCCGTTAGCAGATGACGTGCAGAAGTGGCTTCTTTCATACAAGGGTCTTGGGAAAGTAAGATTTTTTTTTTTTTTACATATTATTTTAGAAGAATCTGTATTCCTTCGGTGACTTCAAGCAATATAAGCCGCTCTCAGCACGAACTGTGTCAGTGTAAAAACGTTATATATTTAAAATATATACAGTACCTATATGTAGACATAGCTGTAGAATTACACCTATCTACATTTTGTGAAGGTCTCAAACAAGAGGTTTTGCTGATGGGAAGCCAGATGCCTACAGAATGGCATTTTACAGTTAGAGGCATCCTTAGTGTTCAGAGTACTTACAGCAAAAGCTTCGTGGAATTCAAACACGTCGATATCAGCCATGGTTAGACCAGCCTTCTCTAGCACTTTGGGAGTAGCGTACGTTGGACTGCAGAAGAGTTAAGAAACAGAAGCCTTGCGTGAATACGTTTCCTCACATCATCGTCCCCTTTTTCCAGAGTGACCCACGTTACATTCCTTCTCTCTAGGGTGTGTGGCACGGCTCTCTGCCTGTCCCACGCCGACTGAAACACAACCCCGAGTAACTACTGCTAGTCCCAGCACGCTGAGATGCCCCCCAGCAAACCAGGGTGAGCGTTTCCACCGCAGCTGCTCTCCCACGTTGGCCACCTCCCCCTGCTGAGTCAGACCTCACAGACCGGCTCTCGCACCTTTGCGAGAAGGCCTGAAGAGGCGCAGTATCTCGTGAGGTGCTTCCCGAAAAACAAACGTGTAATGGCAAGTCAAGGCTGCTGTGCTAGTACAGACTGTCAGGGGATGCTCTTGATCACCGCCACCTACCCCAGCAGCAGTTGGTCCTTTGGATCCTGGGACACGTAGACAAAGTCCCTGCACAGGAGAAATGCTGTTAGTAACAGAAAGAGGAGGAGGAAGAGAGAGCAGGCTCCAGAGGCCCCACAGAGCAGTCCCTTTTATACCTTAGGTAGGCCTTCGGTTTGTATCCCATTGCCAGAGCCTTCTCCTCAGACATGAGCAGAATTGCCGAAGCACCATCCGTCTGAAACAGGCAGACAACCACAGTGAGGTCACTGCCTGAAGAGCAAGCACGCCCTGCGCACAAACGAGCCCGACAGCCCTCCTGCGGGGCAGCCGGCAAGCGAGGACCCGAATGTAACCAGCGCTCCCAGGACATGCCCCTGCGACAGGGGACAAGGAACAAGCCTGCGCCATTGAGCTGATGGATGGATGATCCCTGACCAGCGTTGGCACACGCGTTGCTGAGGCACTTCCCTGCCGTCCAGACCCACAACTGCCCCCGGTTTCAAACAGGACAGAGGTGCCTGACTGCCCTGCCTGTCCTGAGGCCAGACCTGTCTGCTCAGCTCCATCCCAAAGCCAGAGTGTAATTCTGGGATGACACAAGCCACAGGCTCACCACATCGCCAAAATGAACATCGTGGCTTTGACATGTGACCACTCTTTTCTGGGGTAACAGCCTCAGCTGGCCTACAGACCGGTGGCCCAGACCACACCAACAGCGTTTCGGCTGTTCCTAACACCACAGCTGGGGCATCACCCCGAGAACGCTAAGGAGTAAATAGCATTGCTGCTGCAAGAGCCTCAGCAGTAGTTCCTTGCTTCCTTTGAAGCGCTCACAGCCTTTTAAACACCCAAGAATCTGGCAGGGCTGCGTGCAGGAACACGACAGCCACCCCGAGCCCTCTGCGGGAGGCTTTCAGCGGCAATCACCTTCTACCAGGTCTCAGGAACTGGGGCTCAGATACGCCTCACCTAACTTACACAGCTACCTTAGACCTCAGCATCTACAAAAGCCTCCTTTAAAAGCGCTGAGGAGAGAAAAAGGAGCATTTGCAGAAGACAGCTCATCATGAGTGTGCTAGAGAAATTGCTCCTTCCCCTCTGTGAATTACAGGGCAAGACATAAAGCACCAAGTTCAGACTAAAACTGCTCACTTCTGCACTTACACTGTGATCAGTCCCACCCTGGGACAGAATTTCTACGTGTGCCTTCGAATGACACACGTTGGACGGTTGGGCTTGATGATCTTAAAGGTGTTTTCCAACCTAAACGATTCTGTGATTCTATGAATGATCAACCCTCACGAGGCAGCTACAGAAAAGCAAACAGGTAAGACAGACCAAAGCTCCGGGGGTTCAATTACTGATTTTAAAACGAAACAACCCAGTACCCAGGTTCACCAGATTATAATATCATTCACAGTTACCCCTGAAAGATCCGAAAGCAGGTGATATTACAAAGGAGACAACTCATTCCCACAGGTTACACCAGCCCGATCTACACGCCTAGGGGAGGCAGAGGGTAAACGGGGCAGTTTGCCCCTCCGGCTCACGCAGCGATGGGAGCACGCATTACCAGGAAGGAGGAGTTGGCAGCTGTGACAGTTCCGTAGGGTTTGACAAAAGCTGGCTTCAGCTTGCCCATCTGCTCCATTGAGGAAGGACGGATCCCGTTATCTTTGGTAACTGTATCTTTGCCTGTTGATGAACAAAGCATATTTATGTATCTTTTTAGTAGGGCCAGCTGGGACAGGACAAGGGGTAATGGTTTTAAACTACACCAGGGTAGGTTTAGACTGGATATAAGGAAGAAATTCTTTACAATGAGGGTGGTGAAACACTGGAACAGGTTGCCCAGAGAGGGGGTGGAGGCCCCATCCCTGGGAACATTCCAGGCCAGGTTGGCCGGGGCTGTGAGCAACCTGATGTGGTTCAAGGTGTCCCTGCTCCTGCAGGGGGGTTGGGCTGGGTGGGCTCTAGGGGTCCCTTCCCACCTAAAACATTCTGTGATTCTATATTTAAACCAGGAAAGTCAGCAATGTATCTGAATTTGCACATCAGGAGTCCAGGGGGAAAAAAAGAAAATCCAGAAAATGTGCTTTTTATGACAAGTGGGAGGAGGAAAAAAGGGAAAATCCATTCATGGCATCAGGATATTTTAGCATGGCTAAAAAATAGCGCTTAAAAATAGAAGCTACAAGACTTTCTCTCTGAAGACTGCGAAAATAAAGCGCTGCAGTCTGTTTACTCTAAGAAAAAACTACCACATGGAAAACCCAGCTGATAAAAGAATTTAAATTCAGATTACAAAGCCTAAATTGGACAACTGAGCCTAAATCAGTACATGCTTATGTGCCAAGTCTTGAAGAAGTAAGAGCACTGGGAAGAACCAAATATATGTATCATCAACCATACTGACTCCTTAAATAAGGCAGTTAAAGATACCAATTTTAGTATAAAGACTACACGTGACTGGATCTATGACAGTAAGGTCTCTCTAGGAAGCTAATTACAGAGTAAAGTGCCCAAAATTAATAGCTACACCAAAGCGTGCTCACTGGCTGATGGAGGCTGAGGGCGGAAATCAGGCTGCAGAAAGGACAGCTTGAAGCAATAACTGTGAAGCCTCGTGAACTGGAGTCTGCCAAGCAGTTCACATTTCAGCTCTTCCCATCCAGCACCTGATTTATCAGACCGGGATTTTGTTAGGCTTTCTATTTGTTGTTAGTAGCTTGGGGTATAAAAATGGGCTCTCTCGCCTGACTGAAAGAGCAGGGGGATTCTTGGTCCAACCATTCTGGTTTTCCTTGCTCTGTCATCACATTAGCACGCATATGAGGTGGGTATGACAAAATTCAGATATGCAAGGATAAGTTTATATATTTAGATATGCATGTTTAGAATCACAGAATGGCAAGGGTTGGAAGGGACCTCGGGAGCTCACCCAGTCCAACCCCCCTGCTAGAGCAGGCTCTCCTAGAGCAATCTACACAGGACTTCATCCAGGCGGGCTTTGAATATCTCCAGAGAAGGAGACTCCACAACCTCCCTGGGCAGCCTGTTCCAGTGCTCCGTCACCCTCAGAGTAAAGAAGTTTTTCCTCATGTTCAACTGAAACCTCTTATGTCTCAGTTTGTACACGCTCCCATGCCCCTGGTATTCCAGGAAGACACAGACAGTGTGCCAAAGAGTTAAAAAATCCGTATCGGACACACAAAACATTATGAATCCAACCCCAGTACTTCCCCTGCTTTTCTAAATGAAATATTTTTTTATTGAACTAGTGCATGCTAGCAATGAACCACGGGCACTTTTACCTGGCACTTTGAAGGGTACCACATCAAGCAGCAAGCCTCCGTCCTGGGCTTTCTTGGCTAGCGTGTGTGAGCGGAGGGCGTACTCATCTTGCTCCACACGGGAAACGGCAAAGGCAGCAGCCAAACGATCGGCAGAGTGCCCCATAGTCTCGCTGGTGGAGAACTCTGCCACAGCTGGGAGCTACAAAACAGAAAAATAAAGTCAGCACAGAAAAACCCCTGTCCCTGGGAAGTTACATCAAGCTCAGAAGCTGGTTAAGCCCCGCCCAGTCAGCCAGTGAGGCCCCTCCATTTATTACGTAGAGCAGTTAATATCACAGCTATGCAATTAACACGTGGCTGCCGTACCAGAAGTGACTCGGTTGAATGTATTACAGGAACCATCACTTGCAAAGATTGTAGAAGAAAATGGATAAAAACGAGATCCAGACTGCTGCTTACTCCAGGGGTTCAAGAACCGCATTGGCTTTGCACATGCAAGGAGCAGCCGTGTCGTCTGTTGAACAAGGACTCCCCTATGAAGGGCGACCAGACTTTTTGGGCCAAGGTGAAACAGTACGTGCTGGGACCCCGAAATTCCTTGTGAAATACCTCCTCAGGCAAAACCAGAGACAGCAGGTGGGTTCAGCTTAGCTTTTACTCTTCCAGCGGCACACCGAAAATCCCCGCGTGCACTGAAGCCTGCAATTTTCCTATCTTATTTGGACTTTGGATCTCATCCCTGCTGTGTGGGCACTGTGCTTGCCTGCGTGCACGCTAAAGGCAGCCCAGGCGCACCCGGCTTTCTCGTGCAGGGCTCGGTTTTCTTGCAAAGAGCTCGGTGGTGGGAAGGAGGGAAGTGTTTTCCCTTTCCATCTCCACCACTCCTAATTCACCTCTCTCATGGCCTCCAAGACAGAGAAGAGTGGCTCCCTCTACAGCAGGCTCCTGACACGAACCAGCAGACCGCTGACTCTCATCAGGGCCCAAACGTGGGAGCTGAACGCATTCAGCACCTGGCAGGATGCCGCCAGGAGCAGTAATCACAAGGCATATTTAAGATGTGTCAATCAAACAACAATTATATTATATACTGAGGGAATTCTTCTCTGATATTAAGCATGTTACTTCTATTATCTAGGAAACAAAAACCTCTTCTGACCCTTTAGGACCCTTGCATAAGTTTTATATTTATGAGAAAAAGCTTCTACTTTTGTAATCTCCAGCACAGTTTGTCTAGGGGTTGCAGAAGAGGGAATTTTTGGGATAGGTTAGGTTTACTGAAGACCAACATGTAAGAAGGCAAAGCAGAGAGTCACAAATGCTATGAGACGCATTAATCAGCTGGGTTTAACCTAAAGCACAGGACAAAGACCCGATAAAGGCGAGCCCCAGGCAGCCACCTTACCCTTTTTAAATCCTCTCCACTGAGGCTAAAAAAATTACCTAAGCCAACTTTGTTTACGTCTTCTTATACAACAGTTCAGCTGAACTATCCAAATGCCTGAAAAAAAAATTACCTCAGGAGCAAAGTAGTCAGGGCGAATTTTGGAAATCAGGGAGAGCTTTTGGCCCAAGGTCTTGGCTCGGTTAAGAGTGAGCATAGTCTTCCTCATCTTCCTACTGTGACGAATGGGAACGTCTGACATTAACTCCACACCCCCTGCTACGACGACATCGCACTGTCCAGCTGCAATCATACCCACGCCTGCAGAACGAGACAGAGTTTCCCAGGAGAGCCGTGGGGAGAAGTGACACTTACCCCACTAGTGCCTCGGATACTACGTTTTATTTCCTTCTCCAGCCTCCGGCTTCGGGCGAGTTATACAACACGCGCTTAACAGAGACTGAGCAGGTTGAACAGACATTTTCTGAATCATTCTAGTTTTGTAACTTGCTCTCGGTCACACACAGCAGTTGGGAGAAGAATATCCCCAGTGATTCAGGACAGTAACCGGGTCTCAATTTTTTTTGCTCTGTTTAGGCTAAGTCAAAGATGAAAGTAGCCCAAAAGGCAGCAACTTCACTATGCAGCCTTTCCCTCCCAAGCTAACACAGACACTGAGCAGAGACTATCGCTGAATGCAAAGGGTGTCCAGCGGCTGGCAGGTCTACAGCAGACACTCTAGGCACATAATATTTTGTTGGTTCAGAAATTTCCCTTCCATTCCAGAATTTCTTCAGATGCTTACTCATATTCACTAAGCAGTGCAAGTTAGACGAGGGATGCGGAGGAGCTGCCAAGCTCCTTCTCAAACCCACAACTTGTTCTTCCAGCCAACATACCTGTGGTCATAGCCTGGTTTGAAGAAATGCAAGCCATGGTGACTGTATGGGCTGGAGTTTTGTCAGAGAAACCTGCTCCCAAGGCAGCCTGTGAGCCACAAAGAATGACTGTTAAAACCTCCGCCTGTTGCTCCACAGGGTCAGAGCCACCTTCTGCCCAGCAACACACCTTTGCAGACTAAGCTGAAAACAAGTACATCGAGTTTTCATTCAGCCAGTTACTGCAGCAGCTCTTCCCCTGCCCGGACTCTGGGAAGAGGAGGAGAGGGCAGCCGCCAGGGCTCTCAAACACATCATGTGGACAATCGCTGGCCCCCCACGACTAAAGGGACTGACTAATCCCACACCTCACGGTTTCAAAAGAGCTTCCAACTACTTGCCATCATCTTTGCTTCACTTTATTTGCAAAGGCGGCACGTGAAAGGAATTATTTAGAGCCCTCCGTGCGAGGCTTTACACAGAACAGAAAATGCTTCCTGTGGTTCAGAATGCAGCGTCTCATTTGAGCCAGCTGAGAGCCCGGCCTGCCGTCACGGGAGCACTGCTCACAGCAAGACCTCCCCTAGTTGAGACGTGGCCAACTAGTTTAAAGTTCAACAGTTGTTCCCGAGTTAAAATTACACCGCGGCCTCATCTGACTGGCAGGTGACCAAAGCAAGTATTTGCATATACAAGGCTAAAACCGCCGATGGAACCGGAGAGCCTCATAACCTGATGAGTCTTTCCAGACCAGGTTACATCATGGTTTTGCACAGAACAACCGCAGAGGCTCCAGGTTTTTATAGAAAATCACATGCCACCTCTGTAAGATTACTTCAGCAGACCAGCTTCTTTCCGAGTATAATGTGCGAATTCTGGCTGCCAGAAAAAAGGGCAGCTAAGCTACTCCACATCATTCAACAGCTGCATCTGATCAGCCAAATAAATACCACAGTAAAGCAACCAGAGCATCCTCTGGTCCTCTCAAGCACTTCGGACAAGCCAGCATTTGAGTCCAACTGGTAGTTAGAGCTGAGTGGTCAGCAATCGTTAGCAAAAGCTTCCCTTTCAGGGAAGAACCAAGCAGAGGCTTCACAGCATTAAAATGCACTTGACCTACGGCAGATTTCAACAGGAGGCAGAGTCCCATACAGTTATTCAACGGACAATACTGCACAACTGGTTCATACTCTCAAATCACATTTAAATGCACCATAATATTGGGAATTTCTTTTTTGCAAGTGTTTTGTCACCTTTGTACTAGTTGCAGAAATCAGACTCCCAAGGGAAGTGCTGCACATAACCCACCTCTCTGGCAACATTACTCGTTTTCACCTCCTGGATCACTGTGCCATAAACGATGTAATCAACAACATCCCTTGGGACACTGGTCGGGCTCAGCAGGCCCCTTAGGAGCAGATCAAAACAAACAGAATTTGCACCAGGTAAGCAACAACCTTGTCGCACTCCCCAAACATCCTCTTTCCACCAGCTTGGCTGGAGAACAAGGCAACAACAGAGCTGCACCTCCTGCCCCTAGTTCAGAAGAAATCTTGTGTGCGTTGTGTACTTAATGAAAAGCGTCATTGACTGCGGGCTGCGAACAGGCACGGCAATAATATCAGTACAAATTATTACATAACTTTGCGAAAGCAACTACTCTACACCCCACCAAAACACTTGTTAGCATCTTCCCCTAGTTTGGAGTATTCTGACATCAAAACTAAAGGAAGAGGGCCTTAAGAGATAACAAAGCCAACCACCCTCGGTGTAGGAACATGTAAGACTTCAAGACAGGCACACAGGAAGTAAGCAGTGCGTTTTCACAGTCCCTTGGAAAACACGCTGCATGATCTGCCAGAGTGTCCCGACAAACTCGCCCCCACAGCAAATCCCGTCGCAGGCAGTGAGTTAGGGTCAGTGGGATTCACATGTAGCTTCATACGCAACAAAACACCAAATAAAAAGGAAACTAAAGGCACCTCAATCAATAACTTGCCCTCCGTAGCACACTGAAACCCCCTCAACGTGCAGGGGACAGCCCCCATGCACGATTAACACGCTGCCTGTCAACCCAATCAGCCTGCCTTGCCTAAACAACGGCACCCAACCTCACGCTCCTTCTTCCTTGGGCCTTGAAATCTCCTTTCCCCCCTCCCCCAGTAAAGCCTTCTCTCCTTCCAACAGCACTTTGCGCTGCAGCTCAACAAAACAAACCCAGGGCTAACGACCCACAGCTTTTGTCAAATCACTGCAGAACGGAAGGCACTTAAATTAACAGAATGAGCTTCTTATTCTTGTTGCCATTTCGTTTTCTCTGCGTTGCCCAGACTGTTTTTCCCATGAACCACTCGCACACCTCAACAGTAGCCATCATCTCTGTATTTCGAGAACTACAGGTAGAATTCAAATTAACTAAAATTTATCAAGAAGGACAACAACGTGATCTCTGTGTAACAACACATTGTAACGCAAGCCTATAGTAAACCCTACTGCTTAAGCCACCTACTAAGGCGGTGGCAGACCATGAAAAATGAAGCACCTGGATCATACAATCCAGAGACAAAGCTAGAGCCTTGGCTTCCCAATCTGTTGAAGCCACCATACCAACACTGGGACCCCAGCTGTTTGACAAGCGAGAGTTTTCTGAGCCTTTCTGTTATTCAGTTTACTTACTGCAACGCTGCTCTTGCCAAGTCGTGTGGCATAAGATCCGCATACCTGGAATTTAAAGGAGAGAGGCAGAAGCTTAGGAGTGTCAGAAACTGATGCAAACGTCTGCTTCACCACTGTAGGCGCACATCAGCAGCACAGAACTGGTGACAGACCAGAAAGGCTCCACTGCATTTATCACAGAATCCCAGAATGGTTTGGGTTGGCAAAGCCCTTGAAGCTCCCCCAGCCCAACCGTTCCCCTACCCCTGCCATCCCACCCCCAAACCCTGGCCCTCAACACCGCCTCTGCCCGGCTGTTAAATCCCCCCGGGGGTGGGGACTCGACCCCTGCCCTGGGCAGCCCCTTCCAGTGCCTGATAATGCTTTATAATCAAACATTTCACACCCCAAGGTTGTGAAGAGTATCTGTGTATTGGTCCACACAAAATCGCTGTACTAAAACTGTCAAAAAGCAGGAGTAACAGAATCAAGAAATCCCCTACCCATCCTAAGAGTCAGGTCTGGTCCTAATTCAGCTGTGAATTTGGCACTAGCAAGAAGAGTCTACAGCAGATTCTCTGCACCCGTCTGGCTTGTTTTGTGAAACTCTTTGCTTTATCTGCTGTGGATTCACCAACAGCTTCCTCTAGACGTGCAGCATAAGCCCTCATCCTTCTCAGAATTCATAGGCCATCTTCTTCAAACCACGTTTTTTCATTAGGTAAGCTAGAATAACTGCAGCAGTCTAACTCCCTGCCGCTTCAGTACTTTTAGGCAGTAGAGTAACTGCATTAAAATGAACAACTGTTTTCACAGAAAGATTCTACTATTAACCAAGTCAGCATGTATTTTCTTGTTACGTTTATACTTACGAGGTGCCAGACTGCAAAAATGGAATACGGACGCCCTCTACCACAACAATATTCTTCACACCACTTTTGGCTAAGGTCTTCTTACTCTTAGGCTGGACTGCTAAGAGAGAAGTGATGTTAGCAAGAATACCAGCAAGCTTAAAGTAAGATTTGTTAAAACTACTGGAAAACTAGGGAAATTGTTCTCTTTCAGTGCCTAAGTCAAAAGCAGAGTAGGCAGGACACCTGAGCTGTAATCTTGCCTCTGTCTGGTTAATTATGTGATCTGTGAAAACTTATTTAACAACTCAGTACGTCCCCCAGAAGCGGAAAGATTCATCTATAGCTCCGCTGAGGCAACGGCACAGCGGAGGATAAAGGCACATAATTCCCCGTCTCCGTTACCACTGACAAGAATGCTGCAGGAAGAGACACCCCTAAAACTGCTGCACAACTCACTCAATATGAATGAGGCAGAGTAAATTCAAAGCCCGAGTAAGATCTCACACAGTCTCTCGCTTGGGGAGCGGCAAGGACTGCAAACAGCAACCCACCTTCCGCTGCCTATGCACGTGCTCTTACTGCGCAGTAAAGGTGAGATAATTCAATGTAAATCAAAACACAGTTCTAGAAGTCAAATAACTCTCAGTCCCGCAGGAAAGCAGCAGCAAGGAGAGCGTATGTAGCTGCTGTGGGTAACCTGCTGCTCCCCTGCAAGGTGTCCAAGCATCTCAGGCTCAAAACATGTCATGATACAGTATTGTTCAATGGGCCACTGCCAGAGGTCTGCTGGAGTGATGATTAACAAAGAGTTCAATGAGAATTTCCTGATGCAACCAGGCCTGTAAATCCTAACGAGCGTATACAGCAGCACAGGGCAGTTCCTTCTACAAGTAGGAAAAGGATAAAAGTCAAAGCAGATTAAGTCCAGCTAAATCCTGTGCTCAAGCAAGCACGAGCACCAGTAGGAAGCTCCAGTGCTGTTCTTGGGTTATATCAGGCTCTCTGCGCAAAGCCAAGGAGACAAGGGGAGAACTGCTGTCCTGGCCTGTTTCCAAAATCCAGGCAGCTCAAGGTCATTTGTCACCTGACCAATGCCCCCCCAATGAATCCCAGAATGCCAGATCACCCTGACCGCTCACTAAGGGCCACAGCTAAAAACCCATGTATCTGTACGCGCTCAGCAGCTCCACCAAGACCTGAGCCTCTTACTGGTCTCACTGGACTTCAGAGCTAATTCCACAAGCTTCTCCTCGTCAGGGACAAACGCCTCCCCTCTGGGCAAGCAATCTAGTTATGCCCGGACAGCTTATAAATCCTAAGATTAGCCTCTCTGTTTGGCTTCCAGAAATAGCAATCTGTCAGGTGATGATGGGAGGTGAGCTCTGGGCTGGGATAGCTGCAGGGAGCGGGGGGAAAGCAGAGGTTGAGAGGAGTCTGCTGCAAACAGCGCTTTGCCCGTGGTTCTACTTCTCTGCAGCTTTTGAGGGGCACTCCAACTAAAGCCGCCCGAGCTGCATTTCTGACAATGACATCAAATGAGACTCTGGAAAAGGGAGGTGGCTTCAAAAATAAGCCTTCGATAGCACAGACCCACTGACATTTCCCAGTGTTTTCATTTTACCTGCAGCTTGTAGCTGTGAAGAGCAGCTGAGCGATCGAGCAACTGAAAAACAAGAAATGAAAAAATAGGGTCTGTCAAACCTGAATTGTTAAAAACATTTCTAGTTTCTGTAAGAACTGTTGAAGAAAAAAAAAAAAAAAAAAAGTCTTACTATGACAACTGCACCTGAACATCTGTGAGGTATTTTTTAGTTTACTCTGTTCATAAGAAGGACAGAGTTCATATTACCCGTTAACGTGCGATTGCTCCCACATCTGATGTGCGAAGGGACAAATATGGCAGCAATGCAAGTAGCTGTTTTAAAAAAACCCATTGTCATCTTTTTTAAGATGACAACGGAACAGAGACTCAGATCCAAGGATCCGTTCCAAACCCAACACCTAAACCAGAACTTTACAACCTACCAATTCAAGCTTTTAGTAAATGTAAAGATACTTACAGACCCTGGCAGCCCATGCTGAGGAAGCAGGGAGGTTTCTGATGGCGCTGGTCAGCATGGAACTCATTTTGATATCTAGAGAGGTGGAAAAAGACCACTATTAGTCCAATCTGATCTATTCGGAACAATTTCAAGGTAAGCGATCTGCCTGCTTCACACAGAGCCAAAAAAGCAGAGAAACAGAAGACGCTCCAAGGGCAGCGGCACAGAGAATTACTTCCTATTACACTTTTTGAACAGCATCTAACACACCAGGAGCCTGGCTTATGACTGTGGCCTACAAACGTTCCTGTAAATAAAT